GAAACCCAAAGAGGAGTCACTATGAGTCAGGGCCGACTCGATGGCACATAACAACAACAACAACATGTTATGCCAATGGAGCTTGATGTCCCCTGCGACTATGGTCCCAGGCCCACCGGTTCAACTACTCGGTCCCTCTGGGTAGCTGGCTGTGACCAAGCAGTGATCACTTCCCCTTGTCAACTCTATTATACACCTGGGAATTCTGATCATTCACATAAACTTATAGGACCATTGTTTCCCAACCCTATATATGTTCTTGGACACACTCCCCATTTCATAGACATAACTAATCGTTCAGCCTGTCCACCCATCTATCCACCCATATACCCAAGCTTGCCTTCGCTGATAATGCAGTACTGTATGTGCAAAAGGGTTCATATTTGTTGCTCATATTGTTCATATTTGTACCTCCCATGTACCTCTCTAGGTCTTTCTCATCCTTAATACCGCCATATTGGTCACTCACATTTGGTACATTGCCCTTCTCTTCACTCAAATCAATACTTACCTCTATCTGTCTAACAGCATTCCCTCCCTTCCCCTCCCACGCCTGGTAACCAACAAAGAAAATTTCCTTCTATAGATAAACCTTTCCTTAACTTTTACAATAACAAACTAATACAGTATTTGTCCGTTTGTGATTGACTTATTTCACTCAGCATAATGTCCTCCAAGTTCATCCACATTATGTGGTGTTTTCTAGACTCTACATTATTCCTCAGCATTGCATAGTATTCCATTTTGTGTATGTACCACAGTTTGGTTATCCATTTCCCAGTTGATGGACACCTAGGTTGTTTCCATCCTTTGGGTATAGTATAGTCTATTTATGCCATATATTAGGGCCCTGAAATTTGCCTCTAGATTTTCCTTGAGACACTATATAGTTTTAGGTTTCACATTTAAGTCTTTGATACATCTGGAGTTCGTTTTTGTGTATGGTGTGATGTACAGGTCTTCTTACAACAGTCCATTCTATCTTGCAACTCTCTTAACTTCTTCACCATTTAGAAATTCTGTGACTACACAGTCTTTTCCCTCTTTTTTGTTCGTAGTTGTCCTCGCTTGCCAATTGATGTCTCTGTTTCCCTGTTTACAATCTT